TTCTTCGGGTCTTTGTGAGCGCATATCACAAGTCAGACTGTAAACTGCAACCATAAAATCTCGCAGGGAAACACGACAACACAAACGTAAAACAGAAAACATAGTCCCAACAGTGCAATACAATGCTGTTTGGGTTGTTTTAGTAAACAAAATTTGCAATTTGGTTTCAGATTTGCTGTTTTTATGCATTGCCGTTTAAACACAAACAAAAGTTCAATTTTTTGTGTTTTTTCTGGGAAATGTTACGGCCCCTTACGAAACCATTCCGTCAAGGTTTGTAATTGTTAGATCATCACGTAATCATCGAGGATAGTTGATATAACGGTCATAAATCTCAACGAATAATTCCGTAACGGGACCGTAGCATCTCCCTTTTTTTGTTCATTGCAGTTACACAAAAAAAATGACCCTAAATCTATAGAAAAACAAAAGAGAACACCCAAAAAAATGAGCCGAACCTACAATCCGAAAAACCAAGAGAAAACCAAAATGTTCTCAACGCAATACGATTTGAATACAGTTTCAATTTCAGTTTTCGTTTAGTTCGGTGCAGTTTTACGTTGAACTGCACCGTTGCTCGCCTTGAGCTGTCGAGAGCTTTTGTTAATATAATATCCAACCTGAGAATTTTCCCCCTTGATGATTTGGTAAGAATAAAAAATAGAGAAAAGAAAAAATAACCATGAAAGTTTCTGTATTTGATGTGATGCTATTTCAAGTAAGAATCCAATCATTGTGAAGACGAGTGTTATAAGCACCACCCCGAGACGGGATTAGTTGAAGGACATATCGAAATATATATTCTTTAAAAGATACATATATATAACCTCTTGTAGTTTTTCAGGCCGCTATCTTTAAATCAGGTGGAACATTTAGCTGACCATGTCTTGAATTTCCAGACTACACGCACCTCAAATACTCTGGTTGTTGGCTTATGAAAATCCAGGCCGAGACCCATCGCATAACACAACCCAAGATTTTTACCACAGCTTGACTAAAATTGCCAACTTCATCATACACGAGAGATATTGTACTTTATAAGCTGGTTGGTAATATCAACTTGAGCAGCATATCTACACTCAGCTCAGGCCAAATGAGATGATCCACCTGCATTTGATTTTGAATGAAGGCAAAAAAACTGAAGAACAATAAGGTGGAAAATCCCAGTCATTTGAAACTTCTATTACCATGTCCACAAATATCTATTTGGGTTGGGAGTTGGGGCAATTTTTAACCTCTCAGCGGAACTTTTTACACTAAAGTGAACTTCAATGTTTATTTTGTTCATCGATAATGCTCACCTACCCACGGTGGACACATGTTAATATATCCACCGCTTATGTGGCATGCACACATTGGTGATGTTAATATGTTCAAAAAAAATATATCACCAATGTGTGCATGCCACATAAGCGGTGGGCATATTAACATGTGCCCACCGTGGGTAGGGAAGCATTATTGTTTATTCTTTTAGTATTATTATTATATTATTTAACAAGCAAACCACTCAAATGGTTGAACATGAAAGCGAAAAGAACATCCTCACAAAGTGGTCATCATTACAGTATCAGAAAAAAAAAACGTAGTCTAGCAAAGATAATTAAACATGCATATGAAAGTAAATGTATCAAGAACGGAGCCAATAGGATTAATATTTATGATGGGAAAAGAAAAATACAGTTTTTCCTACCTGGAGGCTTTACTGCAGTAAATTCAACAATTTATCAACTACTACATCACTGACATAGCAGTCTCCCATGCGAGGAGTCATCTTTACGCCATCATTTGCAGATTTCCATCGAGTCAAAATATTCGAAATTCGTTTCATCTTTTAAGCAGGTAAAAGAAAACAAAGAGAGAAAATTGCTATATAAGAAAGTTAACAGGAGTAATATTCTTAAATTGCTCAGTACGATACATCAAAAGGATACAGCAATGTGTCTAGCATTTATTTTCGTGCTAGAGGTCTCAACACTCTTATTTTCTCCACCATCCAACGGGCGGAAGAGGAGTTCATCCTCTATGAGATCAAATTTGCGGGCAAGAATTGAGACAAGAGAGTGTAAGATTGATGGGGTCATCTCACTTTCCTCGAAGAACAATAATAATCTTGCAATGGTGCTCCAAATGGCATTCTGTGCCTCTGTATCATCAGATGCAAATGGGAACACGCCAAATAAACACTGCAGGAAATTCAAATCTGCCACGAACCAAAATTGACATCACTGTATCCAATTTTCATACATTATGGTAGGGGGAAAATATAATAGGGAAACAAAACAAAAACTACACTCGCCCAATTACAAAAGAAAGCTCGAGTTACCTTTCAAAATCAATAACTCCTATGCATTTTTAACTTCTTAAGTGTGGGTCAAGAAGAGTTAGTTATGTACATTTAAACCTCCAAGGATTTGTAACTTTAGAAATTAATTTGGCTTCTACACATCAGGCATAGGTTCTGAACTTCTGAGAAAGAAAATGCCCAGGTATACCAGGAGTATATTTACCTTGTGCTAACTCAGATACTAAATCAGCTGCATCAGTAAGAATATTAGCTATCAACACTGCTGCTGTTACACAAGAGCTGGCTACCTGCACATATGTATCAGTTTGAGTTCACTAAATCTTGTAAACCAGAAATAAAGAAAGGTCTTTAAGGGCTCTTCCATTGAAAACTGAAGTGGAAAGGGCGAAGTATCTCCTCCGAAAGATATTTCCCAACAAATAAAAATTTACCCTAGACCGCTTCATTTATTATAAATATGAACTCTTAAATGGTAATCTTCACAACAACATACAGAATTCTATACTCGTTTTTCTGTGTGATTTGCACTGTTCATGCTTAGACCAATTTTTTTATTTTGAGTGCAGAACAGTACAGATAGTTGTACTTGTACCCCTTTTAGTCTGAATTAGAATCTACGGATATGAATTTATAACTTGTGCTCATTAGGGCATTGTACCATAATCACAAGGCATATGTAAACTGCATATTATTGACATGAATATGTGATCTGCATTACATATTTCTTTACTATATTATTAAGTGGGAAGTCACATGTTGGCCATAATATGTGAACATACATAAAATTTATGGGAATTAAAGTCTACCAGGTAATGCGTACTTAAGCACAGCATACCTCAAATTTATCAGGAAGTTCAATTAGATCTCTTATTAGTTGCAAAAGCTCTTTATTCAGACAAATTTCTTTGGAATACTCATCCATAGTGGACAAAGCTTCAATTGCACGAAGGACCAAGTCCAGTACAGCATACCTGATGCAGTATGATTCAAAAGTTAAAACATCACCCCAGCTAATATTCAATGACAGGGAAAATAGCTAAATACTATAGTAAAGGCACAAAAGTACCTATATGCCCCAGAAAACCAAATAACATATACATAGTGTATGTATGCTTAGGCACATTTCAAGCCAATGGCACTTGTTGATTTATTATGTGCCAGCCTGCCAGGTGGCTTCCACAAGAAATCAGAACACTGACTCATGCTTACTTTAGCCCTAGTTTATTGCTTGTATTTCCCTCGATGGATACAAAAGTGTACAGATAAAGCAGTACAAGAGGTCATGAAAGGCCTATATCTAGAAGAGCTCGTTTCCTTAACAAAATGAATGAATTTCACTATCGTTTATTATACTTAAATAAATATCCTTAATTTATTCATTATACGTGCCAGATAAAAAACAGAAACATCACATAAAGCATCGAAAAGAATACAAAAATAATTATGTGACAAAACATATATGTGTCATACACAGCTGCGTAAAGCACAGTACATGAGGTTTTGGAAATTCAAGAGTGGCATACAAAAGTGTCATTGCATGGCTTGCAATTCTGATCGGGGTCAACTTATTGAGCATCAAATAAAAAATTCATTCTGGAACTGAAAACAAAGACGGAGGGACATGGGGGGGCCCTGATTTTTTTAAGAAAATTAATATTATATATAAATAAAGAAAATAGAAAACAAAGATGGAGGGACATGGGGGGCCCCCTGATTTTTTTTTTAAAAATTAATATTATATATAAATAAGAAACTACTATAAAATATGTAGAAATGCAAAAAATATATACAATATATTAATAATTAAAACTTATTAAAAATCAATATACATATATAAAGAAAACACTATATAATATGTATCTAAATGTAAATAAAAAAATATTTACAATATTTTAATAATAATTAAAACTTATTTCCTATGCTATTTTTATTTACATTAATAATATTATTTATTTATTGAAAAATGTACTAACAATCCTTATATTTTAAATATATTTATAATGATTTACTCTTTCATTCTCTTAATTGTAAATTGATTTATTAATAAAGCCGAGTATTTATTAGTTGGATTGTTACATTTTTTTAATGTTATTTTTTTACTCAATTTTTCGCCCAATCACATATTTTTAATTTTATTTATTTTTTTCTAAACAAAATGTTCATTTGATAAGCTCTCATCAACGATGCAAAAGTTCAACTTAAATCAAAATTAAACCAAAAAACTTATTATACGGTAAATTATAGATGTTGAACTTAAATTATAAATACATGAAATCTTTTCTTTTTGTTTATTTTTTAAAAAGTTTGAGGGTGATACTGATTCTAATTTTGTAAGAACTTGATGGTACAAGTATCTATATTTATATTTTCAGTAAATACATTTTTATATGAAATGGGTGTTTTAAATTACAAGCTCGTTATTTAACATTTAAAATCGGGCTCCCTTGAGTGAAATTTCTAGTTCCGTCACTAACTGACAATGTGGAGTCCGTTATGATTTGAATATAAAAAGGTAAGTATTTACCACAGAATGACCACATAAAGCCGAACCAAAAGAAGTGTAATAAAAAACCATGGCCTGCTCCAACTAATAGAGCAACAAATTGTAAAATGTATTATACTGCTTTTAGAGGGGGGAGGAAAAATACGGAACATGAGCCGCAATGGTTCCAACAAAGAAGCTATACCTATCTGGCACCCGCTCCTCTTTTAGCTTGGTCATTTCAAAAGCCAAGAGTTTGATCAGAAGACCAGAAAGGCCCAATCCCAACATAGGTGGAATAAGAATAGCTGCCACTTTCTGTTGACTTTCTAAAACAGCCAAGAGTAAACCTACAATCTTAAAATAGAATAAGAAATATCTCAGGCATTTATTCATACAGCTTTTTGTAGAACTGCCAACGAAGGTTTGTAAGATACGAAAACACATCACGGCCACACGTATCATATATTACCATAGTATCTAGTATCTACACTAAACTGCTCACTTGCGAATTTCTTCCAAATCCATTCTCACACATGGACTCCATTAGAATCAAATTGATCAGACTAAACTTATAATCATATGTAAGTTAAAAGTAGATCTATGGAGTTATGGAGTTCATGTTTTATGCACACATTAAATGGTGTGTGATTATGGCAAGTATTACAAGTCTTGCTGCTAAAGAGAAAGAACACAAGGATACAGTTCTTACTTTTTCAAGCAGCTGTGAATTCAGAGCATTTTCAGCAATCCAGAAAATACGAGTAAGGGTCTGCTCAGCCAGCAAAACTTCTGCCCAAATAGCACCTTCGCTGCCTTGAAGACACCATGTTAACACCCTACATTGAAAAAATGACCGGCAGCAAGTTTAGTGCACGTAGGGCTGCCTTTGGGGTTTTAATCAATCATTAATTTCATGAAATTCTACGTTTTGTGTAATGCGAACAAGTAGGTATGCCATTGCAGATGAATGCAAATGAACAGAATTGCACTCTATTAGGAACTGTCAAAGAGTATGTTCATGTTCATTTATTTTAAGTCGTTCTTCATATTCAGTTATTTGACAATTGAACATATTCACAAACATCCAACAACGTATCATGGGATGTGACACTCGTTAGTTGTTTGTTAAAAACATATCCAAATATGTTCGTAAGATATTCATTCATGACAATCAACTTAACATAAATTCTACGTTGATTTGCATGAAATATAAAAACAAACTTAATTTTCAGCAATAATTGATGAATAATAGAAAGTGACTTATTTAACTAATGAACAATAAATTCAGAAATAGTAGATGGACACTAAAGAGCATGCTCACGAATACGAGGTTTCATTGAATGCTCATGGACACCCTTAATTGGATTGCATCAGTGTTAATAAACCTTCCACCATGGTGGTATGGCGTGGCAGAATTCTACCTAACCACCTTTAGAAATTGGGGATGGATAGCGGTTACAGTGGTGCCATGGGCTGCTATGGTGCGATTTCAGCCTGCAGCCATTTTCTGCATTTCTCCATTGATAACACTGGCTTGCCTATACCAAAATAGGATATCTAATGACTAAGCTGCAAATAAGCCAGACTTTTGAATGCCTGTGGTTGGCTTGGCTGAAAAGTTAATGAGTTCGAGCCAAGACGAGCTTTTACAATCTTAAAAAGTCTGGGCTCAAGCTCAACCATATAAAAATTTGCAAGTTCAGGCTCTGCTCAAGCTTGAGTGAACCTGGTCCAGAGCTCGAGCTTATGAAAACGAAACAAGCCTAAGAACTAAGCCCGACGTCATTAAACTGAATAAAACTATAGATTTATAAACATAACCTCCAGATGAACCTATTTATGAGTCTCGAGACGAATCTTTGCACGAGTCAATAAAATGTACTTGTTCACAAACATTTCAACAAGACAGCTTGTGAGCCGGATCTCGGGCTCAAGTAAGAGCTCATGGTCAGCTCCGTTAGACAAATGAGCTCTATTTTAAGCTTGAGTTTGGTTAGGTAACTAAACAAGCTCGAGATGAATCAGGTCTAAAGCAAATCAAGAAAATGCCTCGGTTTGTTTCCAGACCTACTTATGACCACCATTCGAAAAGATGTAATAGATTATTAATTGTCAAGTGTCAACCCATATAATTCAATGAAAAAATAATGAGAAATGCTACATTGTCAACCTAGTGTACAACTAGGTTGACAACACAAGTGAAAAACATCCACAAAAACAAAAACAAAAACAAAAACAAAAACAAAAAAAAATACACAAGTGGATGTTTCCATTTATGTTGTCAACCTAGTTGTACACTAGGTTGGCTACGTATCATTTTTCCAAAAAAATAAAAATAAAAATATGTATGTTTGTTATTTCCAGCAACCCTATCTCTTGACTGGAACCCCTCCATACCTTCAAACCTATCCTAAAATAAAATGTGCTAGCCAACCTGTTCTCATATAACAAGCATGGCACATATTCTTCATGTATCTAGTCACATACAGCTACCTGCACGCTTCACAGAGACAAGGTACATCATCTAGAAGCAACTGCTCCGCTATCACTTGAACCAATCCATTTGTCAAAGCTATTTGTTTACGCGATATTTCATGGCAGACGAGATTTCCTATTATTCCAAGACTAATTTCCTGTCATACAAAAGACAGACTTTTAAACAGGGATGTCATGCATTTCCATAAGCATTGAGCCATATAAAGTGTGCCTGCACAAAATTAAACGGGACTTACCGTAATGCGTGAGGATTGAGGAACCACAAGATTAGCCAGAAGCACATCGAGGATAAGATTTTGAACCTACATATCAATGAACATATTAATAAGTTAAAGCAGGTTTTATTGGATATGCTAGACCAGTAGATCAAAGCAATAAATATAAGGGAAATGCTACGATCCCGTTACGGAACCATTCCGTCGGGTTTGTAACCATTAGATCATCATGTAACAGTCAAAGATAGTTGATCTAATGGTTACAAATTCCGACGGAATGGTTCCGTAACGGGACCGTAGCATCTCCCTAAACATATTTCAGATATAAAGGATTGAGAAGAAAAAGGTAATGAAATGGGAAGTACCATAAATTGAGCATGATCTTCAGTAGCAGCAAGATCCCATAGAACACATCCACACTCTTCCCATGTCCTTTCTACAGCCGATGCACATTTACTTTGATCACCACAGTTTTCAGCCTCAGCCTGTGTTTCGCTTGCTGGTGTCTCAGTTTTTGGAACAAGTTTCCTTATCAGAGATATAACGTAACTGGGATCAACTGTGGTTGATACATCGAATGACTGAAGCATTAAAAAGAAAGAAAAATCGAACCAGTTTGGTATGAGCGTCAATTTATCAAACACTTGGAATGCGCAAGCGTGAGTGTATAGGAAATTAGGCGGGAAATACCTCGTGAGGAGGGGCGGAAGGATGGCAGGCAAAACCTTGTTCGTCTTCGCCTGGGGAGTTTGACATGTGATTGAGATTCTGGTTTTTCCGCAGCCTCCTGGGAGTTTTTTTTTTTTGACCTTTTTCACTACCAACTTTTGCCGCTGCAAGTTAGGGCATGTTTGGTTCAACTGAGGGGATGGAAAGAGAGTGGAGAGATTTTAATGGAAGGAAAGGGAGGGAAGGTAAAATAATTTTACCATGTTTGGAGGGATTTTGTATGAGGGAATAAAGGGAAAATGGTAGATTTTGTTTTGTTATAAAATGGAAGGGGAGGGAAAATAATGTTATAATGACAAATTTATCCTTAATGATGTTAGATAAAAACTAAAATATTATGTTTAATAAGGGTAAAATTGTAACTTCATGTATTAAAATTTCCCCTCCCCTCCAAATTTCCTCATTTTTGGAGAGGAGCAAAAATGGGGAGGGGAGGGGATTTTAAGTTAAAATTTTTCCTTCCCTCCTATCCAATTATCCCAACCAAACAAGGGAAAAGTAAAAAAAAACCCTCACCTCTCCTCCCTTCCTTTTTCCCCCAACCAAACAATACCTTAGAGTCGGGTTTTATTAAACCCTCACTCAACCACAGATCACCATATGAGTTTCCTCCATTGGATTAGATTTTTTTTTTCGGAACGATAGAAAATAATCATATAATATAAAGATAAAAATGTTCGACAACGGAGATATAATGGGAGCACCAGAAACAAATCTGGCCTATACGAGCTGAATTCAAAAATAAACTAATGATGATTCTAGTCAATTTTTCTTAATCAAATTTTTGAATTGGATTTTAAAAAATAAAAATAAAATGGAGTGAAAATCTCTACTTTTTCTCTACTAATTTTTTTTAATAAATAAGATTCATTGATTTCTTTTAAACATGGATAGTTCAATGTGCTCATCGGCGCCTGACCCTGAGATGTGGATCATCCAAGGCACTGCTCTCTTGGCGGATTTGTAGTAGACGGGGAGTGATAGGAGTTCATCCATTACAGTTGACAAAAAACGTAATTTATTAACTAATAACTAATAATTCGCAATTTTATATAGAATTGGACTATAATTGTTTTTTTTTTTTGGTCGAAACGATAGATGATATTATAGAACTCGAGAAAGAACAAGATCCAATTACAACGGGGCAAAGCCCAATCAAAACCGAAACTGAAAAGTGAGAGGCACATCTACAAGATGGCCTAGAACCTCAAACAAAATAAAAGAGAAACAGAAATTTAGCCACTGCTAAAAGCCTAGCATCAACTTCTGCAACCAACAAACTAACAACCAAAAAAGCCAAAAGAAAGGAAAAAAAGCTAAGAAAGAGAAATAAATTCCATCCAATCTGGATGAGCATACTTCAAAACCATATGAATAGGGATCCGAGACTGTTGAAACACCCAAAGGTTGCGTGTCTTCCATAGCCACCACAATAGATAGGTGGTGAGTTGCATTCTGTGGTTTGAAACATCAGAGAAGGCTATGGAGCAGACTTGCATCCACCAGTGCTTGAAAGACATCACCTGCTGATCAATGTCATCCCAGGAGACAGGAGCTAATGCCCAAAGTCTTTGAGCTCTAGAGCAGGTAAGAAGAATATGCTCAGAAGTCTCTTGAGCTTCTCCACAGCATTTGCAGTAAACATCCAGAGCCAATCCTTTTTTTCTTGAGGTTCACCAGAGAAGGCAGAGATCCTTGAATGCATTTCCATAGAAAGAGTTTATGTTTTCCTGGAAGTTTAAGAGACCAGGTCCTGTGGAGTGTTTTCTTCAATGGGATTGCAGATGAGCTACTTTCAGGCTGGTCAATTGAGAGCACTTTCTGCCAAACCAGATACTTGTAGGTGCTTGAGACTGAGAACACCCCTTTCTTGCCCACATTCCACACAAATTTGTCATCAGCATTGAGTTTCAGAGTATTGATGGCCAGGATGGCTTTACTGTCCTCAACAGAGAAGACTTGCTCAATGAGCCATTTATTCCAGGTTCTGCCATCTGGAAGGATCAAGTCCTTCACAAATAGAAGGTGATCTTTAGCAATGTCAAACAGTACTGGCCTAGGCTTGTTTAATAATGGAACCCAGTTAGGATCATCAATCCTTGTATGAGTACCATCTCTGATCTCAATCCTTAAGCATTTAGTGAAAACAGGGAGAACATCCAACCAGCATCTCCAAAGCCAAGAGTCTTTGTGTGATTTGATAGTATAAAAGATAGATGAATTAGGGAAATACCTGTCTTTCAGAATTTTGCTAACCAAGAGATCAGGTTGAGATATAATCCTACACAATTGCTTGCATAGTAAGGCAGTATTAAAAAGTTTGATGTCATGAAAGCCAATACCTCCATCAAGCTTTGGCACAGAAAGCTTAGACCAACTTATCCAGTGAATACCAGATGTAGTATCTTCTTTGGTGTTCCACCAGAATTTAGCACACAATTTTGAAATGTCTTTACAAATGGATTGAGGAAGCATAAAACAAGACATTGGGAAGATGGGTAATGCTTGGATCACAGATTTCAAAATTACCTCTTTGCCAGCAGAGGAGAGCAATTTTGATTTCCACCCTTGAAGTTTAGTCTGAATAGATTCCAGCAAATAAGCAAACACCTCCTTCTTTGACTTGCCAATGCCTAAAGGCAATCCCAAATACCTGGTAGACTTATGAGAAAGAATACTAGGAAGAGCAAAGCAGACACTTGATTGAATATGGGGGGGAGTATTCCTGCTAAAGAACACAACTGACTTTTGAAAATTTACAGTTTGGCCAGTGAATAGCTTGTATTTATTCAGCAGATCAAAGAGAACATTGGCTTGGTCCACCCCAGCTCCACAGAAAAGCAGGGAGTCATCAGCAAATAAGAGGTGAGACAGTGGAGGTCTATTTTTAGACAGCTTAACTCCCCTTAGCTGCCCAGAATTCACTGCCTCCACTATAAGGGCAGATAGTAACTCAGCCAGAATTATGAAAAGATATGGGGACAAAGGGTCCCCCTGTCTAATTCCTCTTGAAGGCTTGATAAACCCAGATACAGCTCCATTGACTTTGAAAGAAATAGAAGAAGTAGTGATACAGGCAAAAATCAATTTCACAAAGTCCAAGTGGAAACCCATTTGAATCATAATTTTCTTGAGACTGAGCCATTCCACTCTGTAAAAAGCTTTGACAAGATCAAGTTTCAGAGCCATGAACCAATTTTTACCTGATGAGTGCCTGTTGAGGAAGTGAAAAGCCTCTTGGGCAATGATGACATTGTCCATCAATTGTCTCCCTTCCAGAAAAGCTGACTGAAAGTGGCTAATACAGCTCTCCAGACAAGGTTTCAACCTCTGAGCAAGGATTTTAGAAAGAACTTTGTAGACAACAGTGCAAAGACTGATTGGTCTAAACTGGTGTAAAGAATCCGGGATAGCACATTTAGGAACAAGAGATAACAGAGTATGACTCCAGTATTGCAGAATGGCTTTTGATTCAAAGAAACTCTTAATAGCAGAGACAAAATCAGATTTTATGCAATTCCAAAACTTTTGGTAGAAAAGAGCATTCATACCATCATCTCCTGGGGCTTTATCAGGGTGGAGACTGAAAAGAGTATTTTTGATTTTCTCTTCATCCACAGACAGCAAAAGAGATTTGTTCATGTCCTCTGATATGGTTTGAGGGATCAAATGAATAATAGAATCACCTCTCAGGGAGCAGTCAGAAGTGAAAAGTTGAGAGTAGAAATCTTCAATGTGAGCTTCTATATCTTGCTGAGAACAGAACTCCTCACCTATAGAAGAAACCAATATGGAGATTGCATTCATTCTTCTTCTTTGTTGGGTGTAGGCATGAAAGAATTTAGTGTTGCCATCTCCCTCTTTAAGCCAGTTGAGCCTGGATCTTTGTTGCCAATAGGATTCCTCCAATCTGTGAGCACGTTAAGTTCTGATCTCAAGGAGTCCCAATCTTCCTATTTTGAATTTGAAGTGTCCTCTCTTAACTGTTCAAGCTTCTTAGAGAGAAGAGCAATCTTATTCTGATTAAGAGTGTGGTGGGAAGAGCTCCATTTCAACAAAACCAGCCTGGTAAGCTTAATCTTCTCCTTAAGTTTGAAAAAAGGAGTCCCAAGAACACGAGAAGACCAAGCTTTCTCAACCACATCTTGAATCCCCTCCATGGTCAGCCATCTTTTTTCAAAGAAAAATCTCTTAGGTTTTCTGGAATTTTCAGAACCTAAGTCAATAATTAGAAGAGAATGATCAGAAGAGCTTTTCACCAAATTCAGCACCTTGGAATTTGAGAAAGATTGAAGCCATTCAATTGATCCAAATCCTCTATCTAACTTCTCTTCCACAATCCCTTCAGAGTACCTATTGTTGCACCAGGTAAACCGGTAACCCACCATGCTAATCTCCTCCATTTCCATATTGCTAATAAACTGATTAAACCCTGCAAAACTACTGTTCAGTCTAGCAAGTCCTCCACTTTTCTCATCACTAGAGCAGATGGCATTCCAGTCGCCAATAATGAACCAGTGTGACCCCCAAGATGATTTAAGAGCTTCAAGAATAGACTATTGCTCAACCCTTAGAGTTCTGCAGGTGCTAATATAGACAAAAATACCCCACTGTCTAACAGAAGAGGGGAGTTGAAATTCCACAGCAATGAAAAAACTTTGACAGATGATCTGAAAGATATTTACAGAGGAATCCCAAGAAAGAAACAAACCACCACTTAGGCCTTGAGGATCAACAATAGCAAATCTATCCTCAAAGCCCAATTTTTTACTAACCGATTTAACAAAAGAACTAGATTTTTTAGTTTCAGAAAGGAAAACAAAAAGAGGATGGTGAGACTTCAGAGTCTCTCTGATTTGGGAAATTATAGAGGGCCCACCCAGCCCTCTACAATTCCACACCATGGCAAGCATTGGCCACTTGGGTGCCATTCGAGGCTGACAACCCCAACCTGTCCTGTTGTGGTTTTGATCTTTTTGTTGGATTCTGCAGCTGATGAGTTTTCATTGTCATGAGGTTGAGACTCT